TGGTGTTATCTCTCGAACGAGGGTTGCAGGAGCCGATCGCCTGAAATTTCTCAAATTTTGTTGGTTTTTTTGGTCATGCTGAATTGTTCTGTGGGACAGGATTCGACACTGAAAACATGTTGAATTGAAGTATTGAGGAATCCCATGATGCGATCTTCATGAACGTGGTGCTTGTAGTGCATGGAATAAAGTTAAAAAGATATATTTTTTTGAATTGGGAGGATCTGATTCTTTAATTTACTATTCTTTCTTGGGAGGATATGATTGTTTAATGGATTATTCTTTGGTCTTCCTCTGTGGATGATAAAGTTAGGGTGGCGCCCTGTTTAGGAATGCTCTGGTCTCGTCCCTGTGGACTACTCATTCCTGGATGAGATTCGAAACACGTGCCGTAGTTGATGTTGAAAGACACCACAGGCACTAGTAACATGAAATATTTCTTGGCTTTTCCGAATAGAAGTAGCATTCTACTGATAACTATTCCTGTTCGATGAGAAATTATTGATTCCAGAGTCTTGACATGATCTGTTTTAGATCGACCTGCTTACCGAGATGTTGACTTGCTGAGTTTTCGGGTGGTTCTTTTGAAGTTACATAGGGTATCGAGAGGATATCATGGCCGAAGAGGATATTTACACAAAAGATGGGACGGTGACCATCCGTGGTGATCCTGCCGATAAGACGAAAACTGGGAACTGGAAGTCGTGCCGCTTTATTCTGGGTATGGTTTAGAGGCGCTATATGTCCATCTTTAACATTCCATATATTAGATTGGTTGTTGGATTCCTCGTGTCAGGAACTGCATGACCTTGAGAGTGTTATATTCTAACAAAGATTCTTCCATCAGGAAACGAAGGCTGTGAAAGGTTGGCATACTATGGCATGGGCACCAATTTGGTGAACTATCTCAAAATTCGCCTGAACCAGGGTAGTGTTGCAGCATCAAATAATGTTACCAATTGGTCAGGGACCTGCTACATTACTCCGCTGATCGGAGCCTTTCTAGCGGATTCATACTTGGGACGATATTGGACAATAGCTATCTTTTCAGTGGTTTACGTTCTGGTAAGCATGGCCAAGATTATGAATGCTATTGTGAGTGTTCTCAGATGACTGCACTACAAATAGGAAGCATTTCGATGCATGCGTGTCTTTGTCTCAGAATCAACTGGATAATTATGGTCCCAATTAGATGTCGCAAGCATGAATATTTCTTCTGCCCAAAGAAGACCAGGAAGATTTTCTTAGCAAAAGAAAAAAACAGACTCTAAGATTTGGTATAGGTCTTGCAGTTGAAACAAAAAAGAATCTGATATTGAAGATTTACTACTAATTCACTCTTTATAGACTATAATGGCTTTTCTTCTTTTCCTTCTAGTCGTATCAAGGTCAATCGAAATGCATCCAGTGTCTGTGATGGTGTCTTTTGATCGAGCATCTCTGCTCCTTTGATTGGGAGAATAACTTGGAATCGTGTTCAGATGGATGGCTAGATTATTTGGGAGACTTGTATAGATGATGAAGGCTGAGATATATGAAGCATCTTTACGTATTCCTTTTCCCCTTCTTTTGACAGAGTTTTAAAAAAGATGGATCTTCTAACTCTTCTGCAGGGGATGACGCTGTTGACATTATCTGCTTCTGTTCCTGGACTAAAGCCTTCCTGTGAAAATGATAAGTGCCATCCTTCAACATCCCAAACTGCAGCATGCTTTGTGGCACTGTATTTGATTGCTCTTGGCACTGGTGGAATCAAGCCTTGTGTTTCATCCTTTGGTGCCGATCAATTCGATGAAACGGATGAAGCTGAGAGGAAGAAGAAGAGTTCGTTCTTTAATTGGTTTTATTTGTCGATCAACATCGGCGCACTTATTGCATCCTCGGTCTTGGTGTGGATTCAAATGAATGTTGGTTGGGGATGGGGATTTGGAATCCCAGCAGTTGCAATGGCCATTGCAATTGTATTTTTCTTCTCTGGTACCCGGTTGTACAGGATACAGAAACCTGGAGGCAGTCCCCTCACAAGGATTGCTCAGGTAATAGTCGCATCCTTCAGAAAAATGAATGTTGAAGTTCCAGCTGACAAGACTCATCTACACGAGACAGCAGATGCAGAAGGCACTATCAAAGGAAGTCGCAAGCTTGAGCACACGGACGAGTTGCAGTAAGTTTCTAACTCCCCTGATTTCTTTAGGTTCAAAATATTTCGAAGATTTTTCTGGGAATTTGTACACATCATCATTTATTTATGCCAGATTTACCAGTGGTCTCTGTTAGGATATGTATCCACGAAATAATGAACGTTGAAGCTTAGCGAGTAGGACAAATTCCTAATAGATTTGGATAGTTAATTACAGAGAAATGTCCCTGCGAAGGATATGGATTGCACAAGTGAGTCGCTGTTGTTGCATCTTGCAGTCTCCTACCACATATAGAAGCAAATATCTCTTCTTTTTAGTACGTTCCACAGTTTACAATTTGATGCTCCTTTTCCGATACCATAGGTGGCGTGAGAAGCTGTTTGGCTCGTCTCACATAAAAAAAGTTGGGATGTGTTTGTGACTTATGCTTCTGGGCACACTTTTACCTCCTACTTATGCCTTACAATTACAATGCTGAACTATAACTGGGCATTTTAATTTGTAGTAGATTGACACAATCAGCTTTAGAAGGCTTATAACATGCTGACGATCGTAGATAGTTTAACCCATGGTTGCTAATCAATTCCAAATTGCAGGTTCTTTGATAAGGCCGCTGTTGAGATCCCAACCGATAACATAAAGGGGAACACAGATCCCTGGCATCTTTGCACGGTCACACAAGTGGAGGAGCTTAAATCAATCGTCAGGTTGCTTCCAGTATGGGCATCTGGAATAGTCTTTTCGACTGTGTACAGCCAGATGAGCACGATGTTTGTTATTCAAGGCAACACTTTGGACCAGCACATGGGACCACACTTCAAGATCCCATCGGCTTCCCTCTCTCTCTTTGACACTTTGAGTGTCGTCTTCTGGGCTCCTGTATATGACCGAGTTATCGTCCCCTATGCCAGGAAATTCACTGGCAAGGAACGCGGGTTCACTCAGCTGCAGCGGATGGGCATAGGCCTTGTAATTTCTATCATCGCCATGGTTGTTGCAGGGGTTTTGGAAGTCATCCGTCTCGCCATTGTCAAGAGGAACAACTACTACGATCTTGAGTACATCCCCATGTCGATATTCTGGCAGGTCCCTCAGTACTTTCTCGTGGGTTGTGCCGAGGTTTTTACTTTTATCGGGCAGTTGGAGTTTTTCTATGACCAGGCACCAGATGCAATGAGAAGCTTGTGCTCTGCTCTCTCTCTTACTACCGTGGCATTGGGAAATTACCTGTGCACTCTTCTTGTGACCATCGTGACTAAAGTGACCACTCAAAACGGAAAGCTTGGATGGATTCCTGATAATCTGAACTGGGGTCATCTCGACTACTTCTACTGGCTCTTGGCGATTCTGAGCCTGATCAACTTCTTGGTCTATCTCTGGATTGCAAAGTGGTATACATACAAGAAAGCGACAGGTGTTGCTCATTGACAGAGCCCGGTTTCTGTGATGCTGCACAATTTGGTTATTTATCTTCCCTCTGCTTTGGAGTTAAATTTCAGTGTCTTGCGTCTGGCATACATGATGATGTGCTTGTAGTTTGTAAATGTGTTGATTCCCTCGGTGTGTTTTGGACAGCAAGTTGTTGATTCTTCTATTAGATTCTGCCTTTTCCTTCTCTGTCACATATAAGATTAGTTTCTCTTGGACATTGTTCATTACTTGGTTGCTCAATTCTCGATCAAGCTTCACCGATTGCGTTTGCTCGGAGGTAATGGAGCGCGCAACGCATTGTGATTCTGGCTCCTATTCCATTGTCCTAACAGCTGTTTGGTAAGAGTACCTAGCTTATCTTCATAATGACTTCTTCCACTGGCTTGCTAAATAGTAACTTAAGAGTCCGTTTGTTTCGCAGAAAATGGGTTATTTGAAAAACATTTTCTAAAAAATGATGGCTTGTATCAACTAAAATAATTAGTTAACCAAATATATTTTCATTATCGATAATAATTTGTCTAAAACTTTTGTAAATGATGAAAAAAAATTTCGTTCGTCATTTTTGGAAGAGATACAAACGATTATGTTTTGGATATTCCGAAATGTTTATTTTTCACGAAACAAATACACCCTTAGAGAGTAACGACATAAGTGGTCTGTGTGACTCTTACTCAAAATTGAAAGTTGTCTTTGCACTTGTTTGGTTCAAACAGTATTTGAGCTTTCCTTAAATGAGATGAAGGCTTGTGGTGGTAGGACGAGGGGAGATTAGAGATAGGCGCTTGGGGCTTAGATGTGAAAGAAGGCTATTGGAATATTATTACTCTTGGTAGCCTAGGATGTTAAGCGGTAGTTTTTGAAATCAGGGATACAAAGTAGGGGTGAGTATGTTACAGGATAGAAATTGAAATATGAGAACCTTACCGATGGGAACCTAACCTATAAAAGGTATGCAAAGTAGGTTTCAGGTTCCATAAATTGAGGAACCTGTTTCGAAGGGTAAATTTCATAATCTAAGTAGGTGAAATCTGAAACCTTAAATAAGATTTCCAAACATTTGAACCTCATATATAATCGAGTTCATTATCATGACTAATGTTCAGAACCCTTGCCTTCTACTAATTAGGTTTTAGATTGTCGTTAGCAAAACGGGAAAAGCCGTCTTTGGCGAGAGTCTCTCTCCGTAATTATGTGAAATTAATCAGGTCAAAAAGCGATATGTCCCATTGGTCCAATTGAGCAATTTGACGGAAGGCCTAAGATATAACGACATTTATCGTAGCTCATGAGTTATTATTACTCACCATGTGGACTAATAATAATATTATAACTAGGCAGCACGTAAGAATGAGATAATGCAGCACAAGAACGAGAGGTCCAAAAACTGTCCCAGAAAATGACAAGAAAGAAAAATCCTTTCTTCTTCTTCTTCTTCTTCTTCTCCTTCTTCTCCTTCCCCATTTTTCCAACCGAAGGAAAGATTTTCGAAACGATGATCGCACTCAAAACCCTGCACATCTCCTTCTCCCCCACCGACCCCTCCGCCTTCCTCCCCTCCAACCCCAACCCCAAGAAGAAGCGCCCGACCCTCTCCCTGTGCAGGTGCAAGCACGACGGCTCCTCCTCCTCCTCCGGCCCCCCTCCCCCGCCGCCGCCGCCGGAGGGCGACGCCCGGAAGCAGGATCTGCTGGCCCGGATCGCGATGCTCCAGGCGCGGAAGGTCCGGCTCACCGATTACCTGGACGAGCGGTCGGCGTACCTGACCCAGTTCGGCGAGGAGGCCGGCGCCGAGTTCGACAAGATCGGGGAGGACGCGCTCCGAGGCCTCGACGAAGCGGGTAACCGGGTCTGTTCATCCTCATGATTTTTCCAGATCCGATTAGATATTGGGATAAGAGAGTGCGATTGGTCGAAGTGGAAAATATAAAAAAAGAACATTTCGAAATTGGTTTTTTCTTTTTCTAATGCTGCCTTCTAATTTGCGAAAAGGCAAAAAGAATATCGGTTGGTACTACATTTTTGCAGTTTTACTTGATATTATGATATCACGCTTGGAATTAATTTATATGCTAAGCATACTACTGTTGCATAATAAACTTTCGGGCTAACGTAAGAAACAATGGTGATCTTTTGCACCCTCCGTCTAGAAAGAAGTATTTTTTATGACGGATATATCACGTAATAAAGACGTGGGGTGCAATTGGCCAATCACAAGTGAGATGTATATACACGATGCTGTCAAGTATGAGGAGATTGATAGCGTGTCGGTAATCGGTAATGCCGATTGGTTGGTTATATCACGTCATCGGTGTCACTTCTAATGTTTTTTTTCTCTTTACGTATGTACATGTATAGTTTCTCCGTATTATGTAAATAATATCTTTTTCATTAGTTAGTAATTTAAAAATTTATAATAAGTTGATCTTGCAAAATCTTTTAAATGTTAATTTTTTGTATGCACGCGGTTGGGTGCACCTTTTCTAGTAAGGAGATATTTTTTGATATTGCTTTCATTGTGGTACGTCATGTTTACAAGGAGAAACATAATTTTTCGGGTATCCTTTTGGAAGCGCATGTATATCTTCCTTTACACGTATTATTGGCAGATAATGGAGAACATAGAGAGCAGAATGCAAGCATTTGAAGAATCCATGGAGCTCAACAAAATGGAGATCGAGGAGAGCGACAACAAGTTGGCAGAATTCGAGGGACAGGTCGAGAAGGACCGCAATGAGGGGCTCTTCTTCAAAAGCCTCACCCAGAAGAAGCCGGTCGAGAAGGCGAAAGCCAAGGAGGAGGTGAAGAAGATCCAAGACGTCGCGAAACAGAGCACCGGGTCAAAAATCCGAAGGAACATCTACCTTGTGCTGATTGGCATCTTGGTTGCCGGGATCGCAGACTCTTTCATCTCTTCCTCGCCCGATTGGAGAAAAGTTGCAGTCCTCGGGGCGATTCTAGTGGCTTTGATTACTCAGTTCGCATACGAGCAAGGGATGCAGTCGGAAACAGAGCAAACAGAGAAAGAGAGATCCGATCGAGAAGATAAGTAAATTTTCGACCTTTTTTTCCCTCCATGATCTAAATGTACATTCTTTGCTCATTGATGACTCTGGCAATAGACAGGATGATGCCATACTATAAAGCAGAGTCCATAGTTTGGTTTTGATTTGATATATGAAGTTCGTTCTTTCTTTCCTTCCCTTGACTATGTATTGTCAAGATTAGGATGTTTTAGGATATCTCATGCATGCATACTCACACATAGAGATTTTCAAGATCTCTTCAAAAGGATGGTTGACCTCGTCGCTCTCCGGGTGAAAATGCTCTGCTTTGCATGGTACTTCGTTCTGTGCCTCAAACAAATCTCAATAGTTGATAAAAATCTCATCATAAACTAATTGTCGAAATTTATTAAAACACCAAAGATTGTACCGTGCGGGATAAGTGATTCACGTCCTTCTCATGTATTCATATTTTTCGTCAAACTGAGTAGCTTTCACAGAAAAGCTTCACTTAACAAATCTAACCATCTTCTTCATCAATAGAATCCTATTGTTATGTGTGAAAGTTTATGGAAATTTTTCGGTGCCGGTAAATTTCAGTAAGTGTTGAAAAGTGTCAAAAAACTGTTGGTATTACCAATGGCTAGTGATTGTTTTAGGTAACTTGTTTGTTGTTTACCAACATATTTTTCAAATCACAAACTCTTTTTGATAGTTCACAACTTAGCAATCTTTATTCTAACTTACAAATTTTTATTTGCATAACTTACCAACGTTTTGAATTTACAAACTCTTATATAAAATTACCAATCTCAATTGTACCGATTTGCCAACTTTTGTCATATTAACTTACCAAACTGATTTTGAATTACCATTCTCATTGGAGTTACTCACCAACTTTTAATTGTTAGTTTTAGACTATCGATTCTCATTTTAATTATTACCAACATTTATTATTTTAATTTATCTACTTTTCAATTGGGTTACCTTATTGGCAATAGAGTTGGTAAGTCACCAAATAAAGTTTGCTAATCTCATATAATAATTGATAGATTTAAAATGTTGATAAGAAATTTAAATAAAAGTTGGTAAATAATAATTTATTTTTTTCTCATAAAAAATAAGAGAAGTTGGTAATTTTAAAAAGCAAATAAATGGTGGTAACAAACTCAAATAAGAGTTTGTAATGCAAAGTTTAGATGGTAATTTAATAGTAAAAAAAGGGTTGGTAAGTAAGGTAAATAGTTATAAATCAATAGAAAAATTAGTAAATTAAAAAAAATTCAAATAAATGTTGGGAGCAAACTCGAATGAGAGTTGGTTATTTAAAACAAGTTGATGACTTAATTGAATAAAAGTTACTAAGTTATATAAAAGGTTGGTAATATCATATAATAGAAGGTAAATTTAAAGCATTGCTAAGAAAGGTATAGAAAAGTTACAAAAAGATAAGAAAATATTTTTTTGTAAGAAATAAAAGAAGTTGATAATTTAAAACAAAAAACCAAATGAATATTGGTAATTAAGTTGAATAAGAGTTGAAATTGTAAAAAGAGTCTCAATTGATTGGAGAAAAGTTGGTAATCACTCAAATTGAGATTAATATTTTCTTTCTTCTAACGTTCATCTGAGTTGCTTACCAACAATTCTTTGTTGATCTTGAATTTAATAATTTTTTTTCTTTTTTATTGTTTCTCCGCCGGTCACCGATCTCCGGCGATAGAGGGAGAAGAAAGGAATGTGTTAGAATATGTCTTGAATTTAAATTCAATGGAAGTATCCCTCCTAATTTTAGCAAATTTCCTATTTTGACTGGTTTTTTTAATAGGTTTCTCTAGGGGTGTCAAAAACCGAATCCGAAAATCGAATCGAAACCGAAATTAAACTGAACCGAACCGAAACCGAAAATTCATGCATTTTCGGTTTCGGTTCGGATAATAAATAAAAAAAAATTGGTTTGTTGATGATTCGGTTTCGGTTCGGATCGAATTCGGTTTCCTCTTCTTTTTTCTTCCCTCCTCGTACGCTGCTCTCTCTTCCCTCACTCACTGATTTCTCTTTCCCTTTTCTGATCTATTCTCTCCCTTCTCACTCACTTTTCTCTTTCTCTCTCTCTTCCTCTATCTTCGCAACTCTCCTCTCTCTGACTTTTCTCTCTCTCTCTCTCCTTTTCTCTTTCTTCCTCTATCTTTGCAACTCTCCTCTCTCTCACTCTTCTCTCTCTCTCTCTCTCTCTCGCTCTTCTCGCATGGCTGGCTCGAGTGCGTTGCTCACTCTGGCCACAACGGCGGTCCTCCTCGTCGGCTTGGCGGTGGCCTCGTCGCCAGCCCACGCCCCGTCCAAGTCGCCCTCGCCCTTTGCCTCGCCCAAGGCGTCCCCGTCGCCTTCCTCGATCGCGGCAACCACCCCACCGGCTTACGCCCCGTCTCCCCACGACCCCGCCGCCTCCCCCCGTCGCCCCCGTCCCCGCCGCCGTCTCCCACGTCCGAGGCCCCCCGTGACGAGGGGTGATGTTGCTGGCGGGACAAAGCGGGAGGATGTTGGAGCCGACCCACTGAGCGACCGTGCCGGGATCGGAGGCCAGCGACGGTATGTCGCCGTTGGCCGCCCCGATCACGATCCCGACGCCGGTGTCCACCAGTGCCTTGATTATCGCTGGATCGGCGGCGTATATTCTGACCTTCCCGATTGTCGTCGACCCCAGGAGCCTCGCCGTGGACTCCGAATCTGAACTCGATGAGCAAGAAGCTCCGGCACCCATTTCTCACAAGACTCGACTCACTCCATAAATCGGACGAGATTCAGCTCAAAAGCTGCAAATTTCGCTACTCAACTAGTGAAGAATCTACCCAGAGAGAGAGAGAGAGAAGGGGGAAGAGAACATTCATTGGACAGATCGTTACGGAGGAAGCGCAGAAAAAATGAAATAGAGGAAAATCGAAAACCGATTGGAACCGAAATGCATTTTTCGGTTCCGATCAGATTGGTTCATGTTGCCTTTTGATTTAGAGCAAGCACACGTCTAAATGGTTCGGTTCGGTTCGATTTTTAGGAAAATCGAACGGAACCGAACCATTGATACCCCTAGGCTTCTCGAAAGGGGTTTCCCACTGTGGATACAAATATTATATTTATATTCTACTCGATTATTACACATAAGAGTAAGTAAGAGCAGTGTTATGGTTTCTCTTTGTAAGTTTTCTGAGTGACTTATTCGTGAGAGATTGTGAGATAACGCCTTTTGCTTTGGGTGTATTCTAGAGCTGGAAAAGACTTGAGAAATTGTAAATTATATATTCTTTGGATTCATAATGGATTTGGTAATGGTTGGCTCTCCCTGTGGATTAAGTATCGACACTCAAATCGAATCGCTTTAATTTTTTGTACTAATATTGTTCCTCATTAATTCCTTTGGTAATTTCTTCTTCTCCCTTTAGATTTGAATTGCAAGATTTGTAATTCCTTATTTTCATTTCATGACAATACTCAATCTGTAATTACTGGCAAAAGAGCATACGTTTAGTATGTGAGAGAAATTACAAAGTTAAATTTAGAGTTAATACCATGAAAAACTCTAAACTGGTACACCTGTGATAAATTTATTCTCGTTAGTTTTCATTAAATTTTACTGTCAAATTGCTAAGTTGGATGACACGTGGCAATTGACGGGTGGGCCAATTTAGGGTTTTACCCCTCTGTTTGTTATAGATTTAACAGTTTGTGATTTTTCTTGATATTAATCCAATTTAACGAAAAGTAAATTTGCCACAAGTATACCAGTTTGGGGTTTTTGGTGGTCAAAAAATTAGTTTGGGGTAAATTTGTCACAAGTGTACCAGTTTAGGATTTTTGGTAGTCAAAAAATTAGATTTGGGTAAATTCATAGATGAAAAATGTTTTTTTTTTAATTTGATGTCCTGTAGGGAGATGGATTTGAATTCTTATAAAATCAGAAAGATTAACTTATCAAAGATAAGAAACACTAAAGTTTAAATTAGGAAAGTGTCATAGATTTAAGGAATTGTGATTCAAACTGCTAGAAATTAGTTTAAACCCAAAAATGACAAACTTTTGGTTATTATAAAAAAAGTATGAGATTTAGTCGATGAAAGTAAAGTTTAGTTAACAAGGAACAGAACAATTGATAACTTAAAAGGAATCGATAACTCGCCAAGTAAGTCATCTACAACATTTATTGACGAGAACCTTAATCAAGATTTAGAAAGTTAATTGACAAAGTCTTCAACAACGGGTCATCAACACAAACACTTACTTTCTGGGTGGTTATGTATATTGCCGCTATTTTAGCATCTTTGTAATTTCTTGTGGATAAGTGTTGTTGAATAACCTCTTTGTAGATAAGTGTTGTGCGGCGTAAGCTTATAAGATTAAGTTATTTGTTAATTGGAATTCAAAAACTGTTATTTTTGACCGTTGTTAGTGGGCTATATCTAACCACATTGTACTCTTTGTAAAAGATCCCCAATCAGTCAAAGAATTCAACGTTGTTGCAAATTTATCTTTTATCTCTACTATTTAGTATTTTATATCGCTATCAATGATTGTTCCTAGTGTCGTACTTTTCCATTTCTTATCATTTACTTTTTAGTCAATAATCAACAAAGGACTCTTCATAACCTTTGTTAGTTTACTCATCGTTTCATTCTTATTCTTGAAAGATATTTCATCATTTTTAGTGAAACTTCTTTTTGGCATGCTTGGTAGGACACATTTAATTGATTCGAGGAGAATACGATAGTAAAAGCCAGAAATCAACAAGAGTCCGATAATGCTGTTGGCAATAACAATCTTGTATAAACTGGAAATGATGTTGCTGCACTTTCAGAATCTACAGCCGCTAGAAGGGGTGATCTTCCAAGGATCTTACTGAAGAGCAATTAAGGGATGTTGCTCCAAATTCCAGCATGGTGTCTACCATAAAAAGATTGCTTGAAGAACAGTATTGGTATGGCTAAGTACATCATGAGTCACATGTCGGATGTGATCAAGCCAATTGTCATTAATGCTTTGAATGATGTTCTGTTGAGGCTAGGATCGTCCAAAATTCCTACTACCATTCCAAGTTAATCTAGTGGTAACAAGTTATGTCCCTCTTCATTTATTGATGCTAATGATGTTGGTCACAGTAGTCAAGCCTCTATAAGAATTATGCAAAGTCCCAAATCATCTAGT